TTCAAGTGGCCCCTGGCCCTGTCTGCCCTGGCACCCTGCTCCCTGCCTCCACAGCACCCATGGCCAACAATGGTCTGTGTGTTTGCTCCTCCCAGGGTTGGAACAAATCCTAGATTATGTCTGTCACATCCACCTGCCATTGTCCCTAGACCTCACCCAGCCCTGGTGCCATCAGTCAGATGGTGTCTGTGGGAGAAAGGAGCCAGCGGGAGCCGCARGGTTGGGTGTTGCTGGGCAGGTCATTTCCTGCCTCTGGACCCCACTTTGCAGACCTATAAAGGAGCTCAGATTTTTCTCGAAAGACCCTTCCAAATCCGACTTTTGGGGATTCTGTGAATACTGGAGCTCAGCTCTCCAGGGACAAGGACACCCCCAAATGCACCTTTTGGACTAAAAAAAAAGAGTGACCGCTCAGGAAAGCAACGCTGGAGAGTAGGAAACATTTCCACACTTGGAGAGAAAAGTAAAAATAGCGCTGGCTGAGGAGGAAGGGATGAGAGAAGGAGAGAAGAGATTGATAATGGATGAGTATAATGAGGTGGCAATTTTGGTTTCAAAAGAATGTGATTAGCTCCTAATGACTGCCACCATTCCCTGGTCAATCTACTGTAACTAGCCACTAATGTAAAAATAATGCCCCTGGCTCGCTCACTTTGAAGATGGAGATGAGTCTTCCTTTCCTACTTTCACCCCCTCAGATTCTTTTTCCTTGAAGAGATTATCCCCTATTAGGTTGACGCTCCCTAGGAAGGGAGATAGATGTGTGATCAAAGCCTGCCAATTAGGGGTCATTACCAAGGCCCCCTGGGCGGCTCCATCAGGCACTGCCTCTTTGCCTCTGTCAACATATCACAGTCCCCAGGCCCCCTGGGTCCCCTTCAGCCCCCAGGACAGGGAGATAGGGGCTCCTGGGCTGTGTCAGGGGATGGCTGTGTGCCTGCTGGGGTGTGTCCCAGAGGGCATGGCCTTGATGTTCAGAGGATCATCCAAGGACTCTGGGAGTGGCAGGAGGGACTTCATCCAATCTCTTCAGTATCACAGAACAGAGGGTCCATGCTTGTTCTGTGAGGCCTTATGGGGCACAGGAAGGCAAAGTAAAGAAATTGGGGCCATGCTCTGCTCAAAAGAGAGGCAGGAGACTTTGGGAGGTGGTGAGCCTTCTGCCACTCGGGGTGTCCAAGGGATAGATGCTGTGCATCAACTTATCAGATGCCTGAAAGGCACATAAACAGAAACACAGAGAGATGATTTCCAAGGTCACATGCACCTGTGAGATTCCAGGATCTCTACCTAATTATTTCATTCATTCATTCATTCCAAATGGATCCTTTGAGCACATATAAATTGCAGAGCCAGCATTGGGTCCTGGAGATTTGATCATGAATAAGATTCTTTCCCAGGAGAAGCCCATGACCAGGTTGGGAGACAAGCATTTAGATGATTCGATGCAAAGATATCCACCTAATAACAGAAGGAGCCAACTCGAGCTGGGGGGATGCCGTGAGGAAGGATGAACAGTTTTCACACAGGAGAAGCTGCTTGCACTGAGTTTTGAAGGATACGTAGGAGTTTGCCAGGCAGATTCAGGTAGAGAAAGCATGCATCAAGTCACAGAAGAGCTTGTCTTCACCCAGAAGAATGGAAACAAGAAAGGTAGCACTGTACACAAGCCCTGGTCTTCCCCCAGGAATGGTTGGGATACCTCGTAAYCGACCCATCAAAATAAGGGCAAAAAGTGGGACTGGAGGCACCCTTGGGGTGAAGGTATAAAAGACTTGTTATCAAAGAGTTTGGATTTTATCCTGAAGACAATAACCAGGGAGTCACTGAGTTCTATCCTCATTTTGGAAAGATCTCTCTGATTACAGTGGAGGGTGGCTTGGAGGGGACAAAAGCCAGCGAAACCAAAGAGGAGACTCGTGGTAAAGTATTTCTCCAGGGAAATTAACCATTTGCAAGAACTGTGGCTGCACGTTAGAATTACTTGGGGAACTGTAAACACCATCCAGGGCTGTGACCCACCTGAGCCTTTCTTCCCTGTCCACCTGGGGTAAGGCCTTGACCTTGGGAGTCTGAAGGCCTCCCTGAGTAATTCTACTATGCAGCCATCAAGAGATCTTAAGGTCACTRTAATGCCAACCCTGGCATATACTGGGTACACAGAACAACGGTTTGTATTTTTCCCCCCCAAGATATTAGTATGGAAAAACCAGAGCCTGCCGCCCTTGGCTTTACACCGCTCTGGGGGAATGTGTCGGGATGAACAGTCAGTTTTTATCACAGAGACAGGGAATGCATCAGCTCGAACATCAAGAAACCCGGTGCTGCCACTAAGGCTGGCACACAGCAGTAGACCTGGCAGGTCACCTGAGGGGAGCTGGAGCACCTGGTTGGGGTGAGAGAAGAAGGCCAGGGGCTAGAATCTGAGTTCCAGGAATTAGGTGCAGAAGCAAGAAGCGTTTGTGGTCTAGAGATATCCTAAGCCAACGGCAAGAGGGGTGCAAGGTAGCAGTCTTTTTAAATGAAGAGCCAGAGGAGGAGGAGGAGGAGGAGAAAGGAGAGGAGAGTAATTAATAATAAGTGATAAGCGCTGCACGTGGAAGGCAAACCCTGTCCTCTCTCCAGAACACTTTGTCACACCCAGATGTAGATGTTCGAATCTTGGCAACAGAGACTTACCATCTGGCTTGTTACAGAAAAAGCTTGCAACCCCTGCTCTAGAAAAAGACCTCCCCAGCTTGTCTTAACCCAGAAGCATGGAAACAAGAAGGGTAGCACTGTACACAAGCCCTGGTCTTCCCACAGGAGTGGCCCTGCCTGCTCCTAGCATGGCCCTCTACATTGCTATATTCCTGTCCAGTCTGGTCAATGTTACTCCTTGCTTAAGATGAGCCTACCGAGAAGTAGATGGGCAAAGACCAGGCTGGTGTGTTCCCAAGTGACGGTCTGCTCCCAGCACTGCTAACAGAAACTGTACAGGCTGAAGCAGTTGCCAATCCCATCTCAGAAGCAATGCAGGGGCCATGAGCAGGACATTCAGTCTGTTCCACCCAAGGCAKGGTGGACACAGTAGTCAGAGCATGGCCTGACCTTCATGCTGCTGTTGGTATTCTAAAGCCATTCCCACTCTCTCCTGCACCCAACCTCCCTCTCCATAAAACAACTGGCCGCAGCCCTGCACCTCCGCACCTCCCCTTTACTCCAGACCACTTGGCTCATAACTCTGCTAAGTCATCCCAGGGGTTCGTCCGCTTGTCTGTCTTCTCTGTGGCTGCCACCCTCTTAAACTAATGGACGGCTCCTATCTCCTCTCTCCCGCTAAGCTCTGGACCTCTGTGTCCAGCTTTCTACTCAACACCTCAACCCTGGCAGCCATGATTAGTATGTTATTAATTTGAGCTTGTTAGAACGTACGCAGCCCTCAGTGCCGGGACTGCCAAAAGCACTTTATGGACCCAAAGCTCGAGACTTCATTCCTGCCTCACAATCCCATTTCCCTCCCAGGCTTCTCCAGGTCAGTAAGTGACATCTTCTCCGCTCAGTTCTGTAACCTGGCATTCAAGGGACCAGCCTTCCTTCCCCTTCCCTGCACACTCCCTGGCTATAGTGGATGTGCTGGGGAYCCCTCCATGTCCCCTCTAGATGCACCGTTCCCATGCACACCTCCCTGATGGCTTCCTTCTGTATACCCCTGATTTTTTTTTCCACTTGAGGGCTTCCTCAAATAAAACAATGTGCACATTTTGCCTATAGTGCCTAGTAGAAGTTCTAGGGAGTTCCCAAGAGTTGTTCTAAGTCAGTAGTAGATGGGAACTGATGGATAGACATCTCATCTCTGGAGGGACAACTCTGGGACATGAGCTGTGCCCCCGGGGTTAAGTCCAGTTGCACATGGAGGCAGCTTGTTTGTTGATGTGCCCTGAATTGGCTTCATCCCTTGATGGTCTCCCTTTCCCTGTTCTCCTACCAGGATCCTTGGAACGGTGTCCCCAACAGACTGCTTGTCTCTGAGCCTACTTCGGAGGCAGGCCAAGTCAACAATATTCAACTGAAACAATATCCTAAAAACAGTCACTCTTCTCACCTACGGCGACTGCCTTGTCCAAGGGTCCAAGGCACCGACATTTCTCACCTAGACATGCAATGTGTTCCTAACGAATCTTCCTAATTCTCCCCGGGCCGTCCTTGAGCCTGAGTCCACTCATGAGCCACAGTATACTTTGTGGAGCAGGACGAGGGATTTACCTGCTCAGAACCCCTTCACGTTTTCCCATCACACTTAGAACAGGACTCCGTTTGTTACCCAGGAACTTGGAGGCCTKAATCAATCGGGACTCTCCCATTCCCTCCCCAAGGTCTGACCCCTGGTCCCCCGACCTCACTCTAGTCCTTGAATGTGGTTATTTGGTTGCTGCCTGGCAGCCGCCTTGCCACCTGCTCTTCCTCCTGCCTGGAAAGCACTTCCCACTTTCCTGGGGGTGGCTGGAACTTTCCCATCATTAAAAAATGAACGAAAACATTACCTTCTCGGAGAGGCCCTCCCGGCCTGCGTGATCAGACATGATTCCCACTCCCCACCTCCTTTCCTTCATCCTGCTGTATTGTCTTCATAGCACTTTGACTATCTAACATGATGTGGGTTTGCTCGAGGGGACCTGTCTAATTCTCTGTACTCCTAGTACCTAGAGCAGGGCCCGGAACATATTCAGGGGACCAATCGGTATCTGTGTATATGAATGAATAAATGATCACATGAACAAACGATTTCCCGACTGGGCAATAGGCTCATGACACACTGAAGATACCGACCACGTGTAAGTCAGTGAACAAGCAAAGGCGTCTACGGAACAGCTGCGGCTGTGTTCTCCCCATCCAAGGCCACACAGCCCTTTGCCCTGAGTGTCCCATCACAAGGGGGTTCTCCTTTCCCCCTGCTGTTCATCTGCACCTGGGAGGTGCTTCGCCGCAGGCCTGTCTAACCACCTGTCCTTGTGTTGTAGGCCTTACCTGAGGGGCAGACGGCTTCGTGGGACACGGCCAAGGAAGATGGAAACCGCAACAAGAATCGATATGGGAACATCATATCCTGTAGGTGCCCTTCTGGGATGTCTAGGCACCAGGCTTTGGGAACTCAGGGAGAAAAAAAAATGTTCTTTGCCTAGAATTTGCTATAAAATAATCCATGATATTTCCAACTCTGGGCCAAGAGACTAGTGCAAGGAATGATGAGGCCTGAACAAAGGCATTGACAATACTCCTGTGGGGAGGAGAGAAAGAGAGAGGCTGCCCYAGTACTGACGGTCCCACGTGGGTAACACGCAAGTATGGCCACTACCCAGTATCGGTACGCACAGCCTTCAAAACACCCTAAATCCAGGGGGAGCAAAGTTATCTCAGACCAAACACCGAGCAGGTATTCTGATGAGAACAGGAGTCCACAGCAGCCCATTCAGATTCAGTGTGGCCACCCGGGACCTTTGGACATCTTGCCAATTGTGTGGGGAACTCATCCTGGTCTCAGATCTTGGGGTATTTGAGCCAAAGCGTGGGAACAAATAGGATCCTGAGTGACATATTATTTCTAGCACAGTTTAGAGTTTTTGTTTTGTTTTGCTTTGACTGTCTAGACATGGCCTAAGAAAAACTTGGAGAAAGAAAGAATAAGACACAGGCAGATTGTAAAAGAAGAAAGAGGCACAAGTTTTAGCTTAGCTGTTTCCTGTGCTGATTTTAGGAATGGGCTATGAATGGTGGAACTAATCAGAAAACATTTATAATTTGTCTCTTGGAAGATAGCAACGCAGACAGCAAGATTTCTTGCAAGTGATGTGTTGGGAAGAGATATTCAAACATCAGCGAACACGTATTAAGACTTAGGATGGGTAGGCCTCCTTTGAATGGTACTGCACTGGGCACTGGGAGATGCAGTCTCTGCTCTGTGGTCAGGTGGCTGCTTGCTCAGACTAGTCCCTAGCATCATCATTTTTTTGTGCACAGAAACACTGTGCCCTAAACTATCTGTCTTATCTCCATTCTCTCTATCAGATTGTGAGTTTAGACAGCGTCCTCTAAATCATAGGTTGCAACCTTAAGCAAGAACCCTAGTCCTTAGTCTCTGTGAAATCTTTTTTACAATGTCTTCCTCCTAGGCATGTTGCACAGACATGAAAACAACAACAACAACAAMAAAAAAACTATGACCAGAGCACCATGAATAGCCACGTCCCCAGGCCTAACTTTAGGGGGCCGAAGGTCAGAAGCCAAGCTATATGTCCCCACAGCTCAGCATCACCTAAGCACATGAGGCTGGCAGGTGGGCATGTGGGACAGGACTGGGGGAGAGGAGTGAGGCCATTCGCGGAGGGTTCGCTCTTGGCTGTCCGTGCTGTGCACTCTCCTCTTTGCTTGAGTGCCCCCGGTCTCACCCGAGCTCTGCCCTCACTGCATCTCTGCCCAGGGATTTCTCCATAGCAGGGGAAGGATGCTGTGCCCAGGCACCCGGTAGCCCGCCCACGCTGACCAATCAGTGCCCTTGAGAAGCATGAAATCCCCGGCTTCCTGGCCCATCCCCAGAAGTGCTGTGCCACTGACTTTTCCAGAGTTCCCACAGGGATTCGGCTGCAGTGGTCCACCCTGGTGACCGGGGCTTGACAGCCCACCCACTCCCTGCGGCCCTCTCCTCCCTACAGGTGTTCCCTGTTCCTCCTAAGAAACTGCTTGCCCTGGCATCTCAGTCTGGCATCCACTTCTGGGGAAACCCAAGTGGAGGCAGAGAGAATTTAAGTACCGAAATGATACCACTTTGTTGGGTTTAAATAAACCTGAATCTCATTTCTCATTTGAAGGTCAATGATGCAAAGGATCAGGGCCAGAGCCAGTCTGCACTAGGTAGGGCGCCCCCGTCAGCCATCAGCCAGCCGACTCAGAAAGCAGCGAGACACAAAGGGGAAACATAAAAGGAGGGGAGGGGTGCAGTAGGGGGGAGTTCTGGAATTGAAATGAGAAAGGTAAAAGAGAAGCAGCCCCGGGAAAGGAGTGTTCCTGCCCTTGTATGTGTCCCTCCCTGAGGCCAAGCCTGCCATGCCTTGATAAATAGAAATATTCTTGGCTCAAGAAAAAAAGAAAGAAAAACGGGTGTGATTAGCATCTTAAGGAACCCAGAGCACCGAGAGGCCAGAGTGGAGGACAAAGGCCCAGGCCGAGGAGAACGGGAAAGACTCTAGAGGAAGGGAGGGCRGGCTGTGCCTGCAAATGAACAGAGAGAGAAACCTTGGCGAAACCGGTCCTTTCTTCCAAATGATTCTGTTTAGAATTTAGCCATCGAGACAGTGGGGCTTCCAGGGGGTGGGGACGGAAACAAGTGAAAGGCTAAGGAAGTGAATGGAGAATAAGAACAAAGAGTCCTTTGCTCTCAGGTAGCTCCAGGGCCCAGACTGGGGCTCAGGTGTGCTGAAGCATCCCCTGTGTGCGCTTCCTGGGCCAGCAGGAAGGGGCTGACACAAAGAGGAAGCGCTCACGGGGCGGGGGCAGACTTTACAAAATGAGGCTCCCCTCCAGGATCAGCCCCAGATGCCAGCAGGAAACAGATGGTGCCCTCAGAGAGGATTTTGAGGGGAGATACTCAGCAGACCCTTTCTACAGACACAATGCAGGAGAAGAGACCTAGCAAGGGAAAGTGCAGTACCTGGGGTAAACAGGGTGCTGCAGGGAGAGGTGACCAGGACCCCGAGAAAGAAAGACAGCCATTGTGGTGACCCCACCAATGGCAGCCACCAAGGGACAATACCCTGACCTGGCTGTTCTCCCTCTGCCTACTCCTCTGACACTGCTTTCTATGGGCTGAGCCCAAGCCAGAGGATCTGGAGCACCTGGGAACTCCTTCAAATGCTCATTCTCCACCCCAGGTCTACTGAATCAGGAGCCTGGGGCAGGGCCCAGCGTTCGTATTTTGGAAGCCCTCCAGGTGAGCCCGATGTTTGCCCAAGTCTGAGGATCTACCTCTAGAGCTCAGCCAGGTGAAGAAGGGGCACAATATGACCAGCAGGTTTACCCCATCTAGGAAAARCCACTGGGCCCAGGTGTCCTGGAGTCCTGGTTAGGCAGACAGGGCCAAGTCCTAATCCCAGTTCTGTCATTTATCTGTGCCTGACCTTCAGCAAGGTCCCTTCCTTTCTGGGACCCTCAGTCTCCTCTGCAAGGGGGAGTTCAGGTCAGATCTCAGCTTAAAGAGGCCTAATGAAGATGAACGACGTGGAATCTGAATCGGATGTGGAGCCTGAGTCAGAGATTTATGAATTTACATAAGGTCTAGTCTAGTCTCTGAGTTCATGGGCAAGGAGAGAAGGTGCAGAGAAAAGACTGGCTGCCCAAGGTCCTGTGTCAAGCCTTTAGGACAACTGTGACCAAAACTCTGATCTGTGGCTTAACGCGCCTTGCCAAGGAATCTGCTGTATCAAGATGGGTTTAGGCTTGAGCGGGAGAAGGTGCTGCCAAGGGCCAACCTCCGGGAACAGGTGCTCCCTTCCCGGAGCAGGTGGGTGGTGTTGTGCACAGAGGAACCGGACTCCCAGGAGGAACCCAGATTCAGGACAAACCCAGAGGCCTTTACTCACASCAGGTTTCTCTGTGGATTCCTAAGGAGACAGCATGGGATGACACAATGGGTACTTATCTGTTGCTCTGGGGTCTTGGCCTCCATTCTTTGCCATTTCTGAGGGTGGCCCTGGTCTGTGCCCTGCAGACCTCTCCTGGCGCAGAAATCACTGGATTCTGCCCTTTCCCACTTCCTTACGTGCTGGTCCCGATTCTAACCGCCAACCCGTGTATCTCTCTGAGGTATCCCTGTTCTGAGGGCTGAGCCTCCTCTGGGTGCTTGCAGGACAGGCAAGAAGTGCCAGGAAATTAAACGTCCCCTCCAAAAGCTGCCCTCGGTCAATGCCTGACAGGTGCGTAAGTACCCAGCTCCCTGTGCCCTGAGGAGGAACTGCTTGGAGGTGGGGTTCTGTACTTTCTCCCCGGCCCCCTCAGCAGGATACAGCCCCAGTTCTCCAGTGGTCACTGCTGGGTGCCACACCCGGGGCCTCCTTCTCTCTTCACCTCACTTCCTTCTCTCTTTCCTGGTGTTCCCTGGGATCCTGTCTCAGATCACCTAATATAATCACCCAAATCCTTGGCTCCGGTTCTGCTTCTGAAGGAATTCAATCAGGAAACCTTCCTCCCTTCCTTTGGAAAGGCCCCTCCGAGGGGCATTGCCTGGTCAACCTGCTAAGGAGRTGTGTCAGGGGGACGAGTGCCCCCTGGCTCCTCTCCTGACTTTCCCACTTCGACACCTCAGCCCCCTCCCTGTCCCCAAGGGGGAGCACTTCCTCCCGGAGGCCCAGCTTCAGGAGGGGATGGAGAAGGAGGTGCGAGGCCTGCTGGGCTGTCTCCAGGTCACGCCCAAGCCACCCTCTCTCTTGATAATGGTAATTCAATCAAGATGGAGTGCGCAGACCTTTCGCTTCAATGGGGTACCCGGGCCGTCTCCGCGGAATTACCTGTCTCCTCCCAATCCACTCCTGCAGGAGGATGGCATTAACATTTCCAAGACTTCTAGGAAATGGCTTTTCAGCTCCACAATTCATTGTAATGAGTCAAATCTCTTTTCCCTGAAAAATGGTCCCTTTCCTTTATCCTCTGCGGSGCCCAGAAGACAGGAAGAAAGAACGTCAAGTATCCAAATGATAGGCTCTCCCCAGCCCCTCCTCTCCAGAGTGATTCTCTCTTGACACAAGTGTGACCTGAGATGACTGATTTATTGGGTCACAGCTGATGACGGAAAAAGGGCGGGGGAACTCTAGTTTGTCCCGAGTTAGAACTGTGTCGTGGGCTCGGGGTGGGCTTGGGTCTGCAGTGGGGTGGGGACCAGTGTTGGAGGCTGAGATATGGGTGGAAGTGGGGGCTGGAGGAGCCTGGCACTGAAAGGTGGGCAGGCAGCTGGTCTCAGGGCTCAAGGAAAGACAAGGACCCCACCACTCTGTATAGAAGCTTATAACGTCTCCTGAGTCATCAAACTTCATGGAGTCTTGGGTCTCTCATAAAATGAGGTA